ATACATATATTTTCCGCTTTGGCCAAAGCCTTGCCTTATAGACCCTGTACAGAGGCAATGGGTTCTACTTTGAGCAGACGATATATATTGTCGCTTTTCACTTTCAAATTAAGAGCCACAAGCACAGTTTCAGTATTACCTAGGTGAACTTTAAGGAACGATAAGAATCCATAGTTATGAAAAGCCAACTCTAAATAGTTCAAATATATATATATATATATAAATATAACATATGGTTTAGTCTAATATATATGTAGTACATGTATTTTATGTATATCATTATTTTCTTATATTATTATTTTATATATATAATTAGTAATTATATTATTATTTATTTTATTTAAGTATTTATTTTAATACCCTGAACCCATTGAAAATGGGAAATCAGGGTATAATGGTTTTGTGAAATAGTATTTAACTGGCAGAAGGAATTATCGCAGACCGCACAAAGTATATATATTCTTGATCAGGGCGACGAGCTGTGTCGAGCTGTCCGTCCGTCCGTCTGTCCGTCTGTCCGTCTGTTTGAACGCGTCGATCTCAGAAGATATAAGAGTTAGAGATTTGAAAATGTTTTCCCTAGGTCCGTGTATAGCACGCGCATATCGAGTTTTGTTTTAAGTATCGACAACTATTGCCGTTAATTGTTATCGATTAAAAACGTTATCGAAAACCAGTAATAAATTTATATCTCCTACATCTTTAAAGCTAGAGTCTCCAAAGTTTTTATGTATACTTATATGCATTTTATACAATTTCGGTTTTTGTCAAAATTTACGACCCCCCCTCCCCCACCTCTAATTCACCCCCTCACCCTCACATTTGTAAAAGGCGTATTTCAAATACTAGGGATTTGTGCTTTGGCGCGTGATTTACATGCGTGTGGATGCATGTGTATGCATGTGTGTAAATTTGTAACAATTAAAATATTGGCCATCTTTTTCTTGCATATAACATTCTGATTTTTGCCCCCCTTCATAAAAAATAAATATAATAAAAATAATAATAACTTACTGTACAGTAAGTATACTGCACACAAAAGTAGTGTACACTGTACAGTGGAAGCACTGTACAGTATTTTTTACTAAATACTTAATAAACTGTTCATATACAGGGCTGTACAACTTTTACTAGTACTCATTTAATGCTGTACAGGAAAAAAACTGTGCTCATTTAAAAATGAATGTTTCAATAGCCCTTTTGAATGCATCCATGCAGATGTCTAATGTATATATGTATATAAATTTATTTTTAAGATAACCTTTTTAAGATAGCCTTTAAGATAACTCTCGTATCTCTACATTACATACAGATTTACATACATACAAATATGAAAATAAAAATTAATTAGTTATAATATTCCATATTTTTATTTGAACCAATTAATTGCAAAATTACTGCTATGAATCATTATCTCTAGAAAAAAAAAAAAAAATTCAAATAAAAACGGCGGCAATCGATTGCAGAATTTTGAAGAGAAGAGAATGAATATTGAAAATTTCCTCGTTAGTCATGCCCCAGCCGCATCATATAAAATACATTTAGTCATAGGTTCCCTATACAAGATTATGTTTAGCCCAAGTTGTAAATCTCCAGCTACCTACATATGTGCTTGGGTCTTTTTCTTTGCTTGTTCAATGGCAAAGTTTTTATATTTATTTTTAATTTATTTATTTGCAATCTGTTTTTATAACAATAAGCAAATTGTTTAAAATACTATACTAACTAACCGGATGGTTTAAGCTCCAGTGAGCTTAATCCATATATTTACATATATACATATTTACAGAAGACCTATTTTATTTATAGTCTATTTGGGAGATCCAGAACATGGAATCTTTTTAGGCGTCGTGGACTGTCATTTGAGTTCTCTAGAGGTCCCAGTGCTAAGGCGTTGCCGTGACCATGTAACCTTTTTATACCCTGAACCCATTTTCAATGGGAAATCAGGGTATAATGGTTTTGTTAAAAGTATGTAACAGGCAGAAGGAGGCGTGGCAGACCCCACAAAGTATATATATTCTTGATCAGGGCGACAAGCTGAGTCGATTTGGCCCTGTCCGTCTGTCTGTCTGTCCGTCCGTCTGTCCGTCCGTCCGTCTGTCCGTCCGTCCGTATGTATGAACGCGTCGATCTCAGAAGATATAAAAGCTAGAGACTTGAAATTTTGTTCCTAGGTCCGTGTATATCAGGCGCATATCAAGTTTTTCTTTTTATATCGATAACTACTCCCGATATTTTATTATCGATCAAAAACCTTATCGAAAGCTAGTTATTTAAATATATCTCCTACACCTTTATAGCTAGAGCTTCCAAATTTTATATGTAGACTTATATGTATTTTATATAATTTCGATTTTTGTTGTAATTTACCCCCCACCCCTATATCCACCCCTCACCCTCACCTTTGTAAAAGGCGTATTTCAAGTACTAAAGACATGTGCTTTGGAATGTACATACATTTTCACCATATAATTACGCCCTGAAAGTTTCATTAAGATGTACGTCCATAAATTAAATTATTCAACAAATAAATTCTTATAATGTTGCCCACACTATAGCGCAGCCCAAGCGCCGTCGCGCAGTTAGTAGAGCGCCTTTTAATACGTGCGTGTGTATGTATGTGTATCGAAAAGAAGTGCAGACTGATTAGAATATCAGATTAGAGGGTTCAGGGTATCTCCTAGTCGAGCAGTCTCGACTAGAGTCTTCTTACTTGTCTTATATAACCGTATTTTATTTTCAAGGCTTTGCCGAGATCGCGAATGGCAAATAATAAGCAGATTACAAACTACTTTGTTATCAGCGCTAGACACTGTAGAGCAGTAGTCAACGTGCGCTGATGTGCGATGTGATGACGCGATTCTTGTGTTTGTATGTGTTAGTATATATATATATATATATATATATATATGTGGATGCTGACGATGACGTTCCATTGGCAATTCTCGATAGTCACTTTGGGGGGGGGAGAGCGGGTGCTGCGCTGAGGAGCAACGCTGGGCCGGAGTTGAGGAAAGCGTTTGCTTAACGCTCCATTGCTTTTTAGCACGGCCCCAAATCTAAGCAGCTGGCGGATGCTCACAGAGCTGCCCAAATCATGCCACGAAAATAACAATAATCAAATAACGCCAATTGAATTCGCCGGCAGGTGGAAATACCCCAAAGCGTTGCCAGCGCCGCGCGCTCGCCTGACTCGCCTGACTCGCCCAGCGCGACGAACTGACCACAGACAAGCCCGCGCGGCAAGCGCTGCTGACTGGCAGCTGACAGCTGTCGGTCGACAGGTGAGCAGCAGGTGAATTACCGACAGAGCGTCCGGGCGACAAGCGCAAAGCTCAATATTTGCTTAGGTATTTAGTTGTTATACTCTCGACTTGTTGTACAATGACAAAGCAACATTGATAGATGCTAGATGATGGCATTAGACGAAATCAGAAAGGTTGCTCAGCTATTCAAATTAACTTTGAGCTCAAACTTAGATTTAAACTTAAGCTCGAACTTGAGCTTAAACTTAAACTTGAATTTAATCTTGAGCTCAAGCTAAGACTTAAACTCAAATCTAAATTTTAAGTAGAGCCAGTTTAAACTTAAGCTTAAAATTAAAAATTACCTTAAGCTTAAACTTAAGCTTAAGCTTAAGCTTAAGCTTAAACTTAAACTTAAGCTTAAGCTCAAACTTAAACTTAGCTTAAACTTAAAATAAAACTTTAACTTCAGCTAAAGCTTAAACGTAAACTTGAACTTAAACTTAAACTGGAACTTAATCTTACACTTACACTTAATCTTACGTAAGCTTAAACGTAAACTTAACCTTTACCTTAAACTTAAGCTTAAGCGTAGCTTAAACTTGAGATTAAGCTTTAACATAAAATTAAGCTTCAACTTAAGCTAAAACATAAACCTAAAATTGCACTGAAACTTAAACTAAAATCTAAAGCTTCAACTAAAGCTTAAATTTCAACTTAAGCCAGATCTCAAGCTTCAATCTTTTCCAGTTTCTTCCAGTCTTACACTCAGCCCACCCTTCTCTCCCTTTCCGCATTTGTGCTAGTTCGATTTTCTCACTGAGTTTGGCGTGACAAATCGGAGCCGGATGACAAGGCAATTATATAGTGATGTGATCTACATCTACTAATATATATATATATATATATATATGTATATATCTTCATATAAGTATATATCGGCCCTAAAGCCAGCAACTAGTGAATCAGACGTCATGAATCATGAAGCAGCGGGAACCAGATCAAGTCAAGTTCTTATTCAATGGGTATATCACGGCTGTGCCTATCCTTGATATGAGCCAAACCGAGAAAAATATTTGATTTTATGAACAACATGCTAATGGCGCACATAATGGGTATTACAAGGGGTATTCTATAACGTAGGCAGTGCTCCGGACTCGCTCGGCCGACAGACTCTTCGTCATCATATATATATATATATATATATATATATATATATTTGATGTATATATGTATATACTTTCATCCACACAACCAACTGACACACTCAACTGTTTGCCAATGGCATTAGGAACGGGCTCTTGGGAAGTACATGCTCTGCCGCCTATGACGTTGCCAAAATCCGCCCGCGTCGAGCATAGTCGAGCCCATCTTTGGCTGTATGAAGACAGCTTTTATTTTTGGAACTACACCGAGATCTGTCGGGCAGCCATGGGGAATCCGAGCTGTTTACATGCAGAGCCGAAAACGAGTCAGACAGAGACAGACCGAAAGATAGAGCGAGAAAGAGAGAGAGAGAGAGAGAGAGAGCAAGAGAGAGGAAAGAGTATTTAACGCCGATTGTTTGTAGATTTTGAATCTGACTTTTCCATTTCATATTTGAATTTTGTTCGATTTTTCTTTTTTGTTTTGTTTTTTTTTTTAGAGTTTAGTCATGACGCATTAATATTATTCACGTATGTAATACGAACTTATTCTGGCATATTACGTATACGCCATGCTGTACAGGAAAACAAATGCAAGTCGACTTACCCTTAGACTAGGCAGTCCAAATATTTCAGTCGCCGTGCAATTCTGAAAATGAAAAGCAAGTAGATAAATATTGAATTAGTCAATTAGCCAAAGACATTAGCATTTAATACAACTGTTAATTCAGCTAGTTCAGCTATAGCTGTGACGTCAAATTCATTCATAGTTTGCAACACGGCAAATATTCCGCTAGCTTTAGCTGTTTACAAAATTTGTAATAATTAATAGAAGTCCCAACTTAATAGATTGTCGCACATTAGATACCCTAGAAATACTCGTAATGGCTTGGATTTGCGAAATACTTAAAGACAGTGAGGGACTAGGAATTACCCCAAATGGGCTGATATCTGGAAGCACTTTACTGAAAATTGAGTGCGATTTAATGGAAAAATATTTTTTATAGACTGTAGTACTTAGACTTTCCATTTGTGTTTTGCCTCAACGTAATCCAAGTTACACAGTCGACGTCGATAGGTCGTAAAACGAGCAAATGGATTATTTATAAGCAACTGTCGTCAACTATGTATCTTACAAAGTTTATTTTATTGATTTAAATATAGAATGCACTTCTAGAGTGCGAACAAAATTTACATATTGATTATATTAAACATTATCATGAAAACGGAAAGCTATTGATAGCTTCCAATAAGGTTCTGGCTTTTGTAAAAAATAAACTTAGAGAACCACAGGCTCGTCACTATCTTTACTGTCTCTTACAGATTACAAATACTTCTATACAAAAAAATTGTATTATTTGATAGCTGAATACGCATATCAAAATTTATTGCTATTATTCACAAATTAAAATAATATATACAAAACAAATATATAAGTGTAATTGAAACACCACAATTTTATATATAAATTATATACACATCATATATACCTATACATTTATAGGCATTATAAACATTATCACTTAACAGTGTAAATATGTTTATCAAAAGATGCAGAGCTTTTATTCAGTATCATGTGTCATACGTCTTCCTATGCATGCATATAAGACTGACCTGGTGTATCTCTGGGAGTGCAAATACCTAAACTCAACAAAATAAAAAATACACTCGACAAAAAACTGACCTATAGTGCGCACATCACGCAGGCAGTAAACAGTGCCAGCTGTCGCTATGGAGCAAAATAAAAATTTATAATGTCATCGTGGTCCCAACGCTTGCATACGCTATCCCCATTTGGGGTACTGCAGCGAGGACACACATAAAAAAAGTGCAAGCCCTGCAAAACAAGGCGCTACAGCGGCTCACAGGTGCCAGCTGGTACGTTCGCAATTCTGTGCTGCACAGCGATCTAAAAATGCCTACAGTCGCTGTACTGATTGGACGTCACTCCTCGAGGTACGCGGACAGGCTCTTGGCGCACCCAAATCCACTGGCTACTGACCTGGTAGTCAACAACAACAGGCGACGACTCAAAAGGCTTCACCCATTAGACCACAGATCTCCATGAACATTGTAAATAATTGTAAATACAATACTTGTAAATAGTGTAAATACTGGCTTCTAGCCCATGATTTAGGTTAAGGTTTAACGATGACTGCGCTATAGAGTCAATGACAGAAGCCCCAATAAATGAATTTAAAAAAAAAAATGCATATAAGTAAAAACAGTAATCTGTACTATTAATTAACAGCAAGGCTTTTGTAGGCTAAGCGTATTTTAAATATATTAATATTTTACAAAAATTCCCAACATAATTTATATCATACTCAATATGCACGAGTTTTGTTTATAATTATTTAATTCATTGATTTATCCCATTTATATTTCCAAGTTAATTCATTGATTGTGTGGCCGTGCAAAATGTATTGCATACTTTTAGGCAGCGGCCAATATCATTCGAAGAGCTTTTTGGTGTGTGTCTCGGCTAAAATTGTATATTCATTTATCGCTTGAACAAATTCATGATTTTAACCGCATATGCATAAGACACTATTAAACGGAACAATTTTTAATAAAAACGGTTAGGTAAATTTAATTATTAGAGTAAGTATATTTCAGCTTATCAAATAAATCCAATGGATTTCATAGTTGATTAACTTGTTAAAAGTGAAAATTTTGTGACATAATTTGTATAGATTTAATTAAATAGTTTAAATTTTCCTTATATAATATATTATTGTCTCTCCCTAAACGATGTTCGTAAACGGACTCAACAGAAAACAGTAACAAAAAAAGAAAATTGAATTGTATGTAAATAATATGAAGCAACACACAAAGCACAGAAAAACAAGTAAGAAGGCTCCAGTCGAGACTGCTCGACTAGAAGATACCCTGAACCCTCTTAGCTGATATTCTAATCATTCTGCACTTCTTCTATACTACACTTCTACATACATACGCATGCATCCAGACACGCGTAAAACAACGCGCTCTGCTAACTGCGCAGTTAGCAGCGACTGCGAATGGGCTGCGCTGCAGTGTGGGCAATATTATGAGAATTTATTTGTTGAATAATTTCTTTTGTAGATAAACAATCTTAATGAAACTTTCACATGGCTAGAATGTGTGTACGTTCCAAAGCACAAGTCTCTAGTACTTAAAATGCGTTTTTACAAATTGGGAGCGAAGGGGGCGTGGTATCCAAAATCTGTAAATTACAAAAGCTTTGTATCCATTAACTTTATATACAACGCAAATTTGGAGTCTCCAGGTTTAAAAGTGTTCAAATTAGGCTGACAAAACAAAGTCAATTTTTCGATTATTCTCGATAAAAAAGTTATCGGATGAGTTATCGAAACAAATAAGGTAAACTTTTACTGCCTATGGTATACACGAGTATGCATGCCAAATTTCAGCTCTCTAGCTCTTATAACTTCTTAGACCGACGCACTCATATGGACGGACAGACGCACAGGGCTATATCGACTCAGCTCGTCGTGCTGATCAAGTCAAGTAGTATTCTGTGAATGTATTTAACACCAATATATGTTTTTTTTTTTTTTTTTTTCAACAATTCTTCTGTATTGATTCGCTAAGCATATTGAATGAAATGAATGAAATTCAATTTCCAAAACACTTTTGAAATAAATCTGAAATGCATCATTCGGGAGAAATCTATATAGATATTATTATATTATCACGTTCATCTTTAAAGCACGCTAAACTCATTGAGAAGAGAAATTCTTATTGCTGGCGTGTACGTGAGTTGATTTGGCCCTGTCCGTCTGTCTGTCCGCCCGTAAGAGCTGGAGACTTCAAAATTTTTTTTTAAATGTCCGTAATTACAGCGCGGATATCAAGCTTATCATTAAAACTCGATAACTCATCCCGATATTTTTTTATCGATAAAAACCTTATAAAATTATATCTCCTACATCTTTATTGCTAGAGTCTCCAAATTTTTTTATGTATGCTTATATGCAATTTATGCAATTTCGGGTTTTGATAAAATTTAGCCCCCACCCCTATATAAGCTGAAAGACGCGAAAAATTATTGAAATAGCTATTGCTCCAAGGGTTCAGGGTATCTCCTAGTCGATCAGTCTCGACTAGAGCTTTCTTACTTGTTTTTTATTTCATTTCATCGCGCTTTTCAGCTGCTGCCGCTGATGAATTTATTGACGACTTTTAACTAATTGTGCGTAGATATATATATGAAAATATATATATACATTATATATGAAAAAAATATATATCTCTCCACATTCATTTATACATACATACATACATACATATGTACATATATCTGTTCTTCTATAAATGCAAATACCTTGAATATTTATTAGTTAACTATTTGCACAATTCTGTTTATTTCACAATAATCGTATACCGGTTACTTGGCCAATTTCATTAGGGCCATAATTGTTCCATTCTATACTCTAATATCTGTTTCAAGTCACTCATACAGCAATGTCCCATTCGGAGACAGAGATACTAACACGCTGCCATACAGACGATTTAATTGTGTGTTTGTGATAGAGCTTGATGTGTTTTTGTCACGCAGCTCATTTGCTTTAGGGCCTGCAGCTACAAGTTGTTTTTTTTTCCCGTTCTTCATTATACCCTGAACCCATTGAAAATGGGAATCAGGGTATAATGGTTTTGTGAAAAAGTATGTAACGGGCAGAAGGAGGCGTGGCAGACCCCACAAAGTATATATATTCTTGATTAGCTCGACGAGCTGAGTCGATATAGCCCTGTCCGCCTGTCCGTCCGTCCGTCCGTATGAGTGCGTCGATCTCAGAAATTATAAGAGCTAGAGAGCTGAAATTTGGCATGCATACTACATATTTTTTCGATAACTCATTCGATAACTTTTTTTATCGAGAATAATCGAAAAATTAATTTTGTTTTTTTTGTCAGCCTAATTTGAACACTTTTAAACCTAGTAACTTCAGATTTACTGTGTATATACAGTTGATTGATACGAAGATTTTTTAGTTTACAGATTTTAGATACCACGCCCACTTCGCCCCCGATTTGTAAAAAAAAAAAACATTTCAAGTAGTAGAGGCTTGTGCTTTGGAATGTACACACATTTGAACCATATGATTACGCTCTGAAAGTTTCATTAAGATTGTATGTCCACAAAAGAAATTATTCAACAAATAAATTCTCATAATATTGCCCACACTGCAGCGCAGCCCAAGCGCAGTCGCTGCTAACTGCGCAGTCAGCAGTGCGTGATTATTAGTGCGTGTGGATGCGTGTGTTTGCATGTGTGCATAAAAGAAGTACAGAATGAGTTGAATATCAGCTTAGAGGGTTCAGGGTATCTCCTAGTCGAGCAGTCTCGACTAGAGCCTTCTTACCTGTTTTTTTTTTTGTTTTGTTTGTTCGTGTTTTTTTCGGAATGTGAGAAAAAGCTCGAGAGTCAAAAAGCTTGAGTGACTAACAATGAATGGATGGGCATATTCTGTATTTTAGTTCAATAATTTTTGAACAGCGACTTTGGGATACGCTTTCTAGCGTTAAAGAGGTGCGAAAATAGGTGATGAGAGATATATATCAATGTTATATATATACGCATATATCAGCGACAGTTGGCGACTTGTTTTGAGAAATGCGCATCTAATCTCTGAGTAGATAAAATTGCCCCTCAGCTATATTATATTTGCCTAAGATAAATCTGTTGCTAGGTTTATAAGACATTTTCCATTAGATATATGCGAGTCTCTAATTGCATTTACCAAGTCTTGCCGCGAGCCCAGAGCCCATGTGAATGACAGTGGAGTAGAGCACATAGAGTATTACCAACAATAATCACTCATTCTTTTGGCTGCCTAAATTATTGTGGAATGCTCTAATCAATTGTCTTTGGGCTGAACATGTGCTTGCTCAGCTTTCGCTCAGAGAGCGAGAGAGAGAGAGAGAGAGAGAATGCTGGGTACGTGGGCATGGGCAAGGTTGAGGGCGAGGGCGGGGGCGGGGGCGGCTGCGTGTGCCGGCGACAACTCACCTTATGCTGGCAGCTGTTTCAAATACAACACAATCGATCGAGAGATCGCATACACACAATACACCAGATAAGAAAATATATGTGTAGGTTAAGAAAATTACGACGGGTAAATTACGTTTATATATTTCTGTTTAGTTATGGTTTAGTTATTGCACTACCTTATCGATTAGATTCATTTTTTGAATAAAAAAAAACAGCAAAAAATTCAACACCACAAAAAAAGACGCGCGAGTCTTGGATGTGGGCAACCGACAGTGTCAAGCGTTTGAACAGAACTGAAACGCTGCCTCCCAGATACTACTCGGAAGGGTCAGACCGCGACCAAACGCAAAACAACAACAACAACAGCAGCAACAACAACAGCCATTCAACTACAGCCGGAATGCAGCGCATATCTATAATACCGGGAATAAACAATACAATTGAAGCAACCTATAAAATTTTACATAAATATATATATATATACATATAAAAAAAAAAAAAAATAATAATAATATAAAATGCACAAGGCTCTCAAATTTCTTAGAATCGGGCCATGGTTCGATTCCGATGAACAGCTATAAACAAACAAATAGTTGCCCATAAATAATATCAGCCGTACGGCGTAACTTTGCGAAGTCACTTTTGCATGTGCGTGTTTGTGTCCATGCTAAAAGCTTGCGGACTGTGTCTCGACTAAGCTTTGCACTCTCTGCTATTAAGAGCTGACTGTAAAGCTTCACCGCACTAGCAAAGTCACGCCGGAAAAGTTCCACAAATTGCAGTTCATCGAGTATTACGCTCATTCGAGAAACAAGTGTTGATATCCTCTCATCAAGCTGATTTGCATAGAAAAACTTCACTGTGTCTGTCGAGTGCACCGCCAACATTTAATTAAACTTTAAAAGTTTCAATCAAAGTAGAAATCTCTGAGCAGAAAACGAACGACTACCAGATACCCACACTAGAAAACTTGAAGAAGAAGCAAACTTAAGAATAGAGCATAAATTATTGATAAATGTACCAGTCGAGCGAAGTATCATTTGCATCGATTCCAAGTCAAATTGTTTTTATTTGTTTTATATTTTATTTTTTGTAAGACTTTTATTAAAATAATTTGGATTTCATTTCAACAAGAAACTTTAAAATCTAAAAATAATAAAATTCTCAAAGATGTGGTTTAAGCTCTACAGAATGTCAAATAAAAAAAAAAAAAAACAAAAAAAACATTATTTATAAAGCAACTTTTCTCTCGAACTCAAGTTAGTAGAACATTTTAGAGTGATTTTGATTCATTTAAATCAGGAAAATCAATAGTAGTAAAAGCTATAAACTTGTTTTTCAAATTCCAGCTATCAAATATCATCAGTTCTAACGATTCCCAACTAGGCAAAACCCAATTTGTACAGTCTGCTCTGAGTCATCAGCCAATTTTCTTATCGATTCCGAGCTGTGGATGACTTGACCCAATATCGCTTTTATTCTGGCAATCGTTACAGCATCGAGCATTTCTAGAGCATTGCAATTTGTAGGGACTGGAAAAGTTTGGCAAATATCTATGGAATTGTTTTCAAGTTTTTAAAAATAATCCACAAAACGCCTCGTTTTGTTTAAATGCTTCTCGTATTGCATCTTTCATTTTGTATGCTTTACAGATTTCGCACTTCTCTTTATGGTAGTTTTAAGAATCGATGAATTTTAATCATGTGTGTGTGTTGATGCAATTGCAAGCAACAGTTGGCAACATCTGTCGCTGCTCATTGAAATAGCCTTTCGCATTTCTGTTTTTGCCCACTGGTGTGTTGATTTAACCCCAACCGCAGCCCCCTGCGCCCACTCGAGCTGCAAGCAAGCGATTTGCATGCCGACATCGCATATCAAGGCAGCTGCAGTAGGCGCGCCTCGCATTGCATCAGCATAGATCAATACAGATAGCCAATTCAATTTGTCTCTGTATCTCTCTCTCTCTCTTTCTCTCTCTCTCTCTTTCTCTCTTTCTCTCTCTCTGTCTGTCTTTGTCCTCACAGCGCTCAGCTGCTAAATGCTACCCGCAATCAAATCAAATCAAATCAAATGCCGCTGCTCCCTCTGCCCCTTTGCAGACTGTCGATTGCCGAATTTGCGTTCGCTTATGTCGAATCAAGTTTGATTTATGACCTTTTGTTGGCCGCTGCAACAGATGTTCGCCGTTTCAGCCAGTTGATGGGACTTTTCGTTCGCTGCCTGAAACCGCCTCGTTCAATTATTCATAAGTCAGGCTCATCAATTCGGTTGGAGCAAGGACTTTGGCTTATTGGAGTACCACAAGCTAGTAACTCGTATGCAACGGTTCGATAAGATACAGCGCATTTATTCCTTATAGAGAAGGTCTTGTGGCAAGTAGTTCTTATCAAAAGTAGATAATAGAGGGAAGAAACCTAACCTAACCTAACCTAACAATAAACAAATAAGCTAATAAATAAGCAAATAAATAAATATAAATAAAATAAATAAGTAAAGTACGAGATTCCTTGAGCTATTCAAGGAACTGATACTCCAATAATTCTTAGATTATTTTCTGCATACAGAGGAACCAACACACACGCACACACTTGCATGCACACACATACCTGAGCTCTCTAGCTCTAACGGAACTCTTAATATGTTTGAAAGCGCTGTAAAATGATCGATAATAATCGACGAGTTATCGAAAATATATTCAATTTGTACTACATACGGTATACCCAAATACAAATGTTAAATTTCTCTAGCATTTGTAGTTTATGAGATCTCTGCGTTCATACGGAAGGAGAGATAGACGGATAGATAAACTGACAGACGAGCGGACGGACGAATGGATAGCCTGCTATACTACTTTATGTGGTCTGTCCCATTACAAACGTTTTCACAAAGCCCAAGATTACCCATTTTCCATGGACTTTAAATATAAAAAATAAATTAAATAAAAATCAATAATCTGAATAAAGTTTTTTATGTCAGCTTATCAGATTACTTGGCATATAATTAAAAGTGCATAAATATAAATTAAAATTAAGTTCCCTATTTAAGTTCTGATAACATCTGCAGGACTGTAGTTCAACTTCGGATTAAATTAAATGATTTTTTTTAAGAGCAGCTCGCTCAGCTTACATATGTTCGCTTACAGCAGTTGAGCTGGATTGAAGGCATTGTTAAATTGAAACTCAAAGCTATCAGTTTTTGCTCATCAGCGTCAGATCGTAGGAAGACTGCCGTAAGCTACAGTCCACACCACACCCACACCCACACCCACCATCCCCCCGCCCACCACACAACCATTCCACATTCCGTTCGAAATAAAACACATTGTTTACACATAACTATTTATTGGTATATAAGAGTAGATGTATATATGTATGTAAATATGTATTTGCATATGGGCATGTATGCATATGTATGTGTGTAACAGCTCTGGCAGGAAGCCACAAGTACACACACACACACACAAACAGATGCATATGGTTATATTTCCGGTACATAGTAGCCTATGTATGTATGTATATGTGAGCATTTGCATGCGTACATCATTTTTTGGGAAGCTGACATACATACATATATATGTATGTGTATGTAGGTACATAGAAGGTATAAGTATGTGTATACAATCTATTTAAAGGTTTGTATATATATATCGATATATATACTTATATAATATAGATAGTTGTAGCATTATATATTGTTTTCTTTTTTTATTGGTTTTATCCATTATGTGTCATCATATGATTGTTACATTCAGTTGCATTTTGGAATTGTTTTTTTTTTTACATTTACATTTTTTGTTTGTTTTTTTTTTTTTTTTTTTTTTTTTTTTTTGTTATCGAAGTTTGTTTTCGATTAAAATGTGTATACAAACATGTTGCATATCTTTCATACTTCCTTTTCGCTACTTCTCTCTCTCTCTCTTTCTCCCCCTCTCTCTCTCTCTAATTACGCATCTTATGCGTAATTTATATAAGTTTGATATATAAACGCTCAACTCTCTCTCTCTTTGTCTCTCTCGCTCTCTCTCTCTCTCTCTCTCTCTCTCTCTCTCTCTCTCTGTCTCGTCCACATCATCAACGTTATTTACATAGGTATATAAACATTTGATAGCAACTACATATATATTTATATGCATTTTGTATGTATACATGTATGCATGTATTTATACAAGTTTTCTTTTGTTTTTTTTCTTTCTTTCTTAACCATGCGTAGTTTTTTATCTGTTTATACTTCCCCCGGCTGTTCAAAAAAAATTTGTTTTTCAAAAATGTAAACTTCACTCGACTCGACTCGACTTCACACTATACATATATTTATGTATATTGCATGTCTTTGTGCTGCTTCTTCTTAGTGTTTTGTCTCTCTTCCCCATTGCCTTCACAGTGCGTCCAAAAGTATGCTACACAAATTGGATTTGCAATCAATGCTTGCTCAAAAAAAAATAAATATTTATCTCATATATATGTATGTATATACATTTGTGCATATAATGATCAACTCCGCCGAGAGAATATCATTTCTCATTCATTTTAGTTTCATGCTTTTATGTTTGTGCTGTTAGCAGTTATGATTTTTTTTTTTTTTTTTTTTTTTTTTTTTCTTGGATTCGGTTGGGCTCTCAGTTAACACTACTAAAGTACATTTAGTCGGTGGTAACCGCTTGCTTGATGTAGTCTTAGGCTTAGTCTTAATCAATAATAATAACAACAATCAAACAACAACAATTAGATGCGAGTACAGCAAAAAGAGTTGAAAGTTAATCAATTGCATCTCACACGGCGGGCCAAGAAAATTGAAAAGCAAGGAAATCATTTGCCCCGGACGTTTGTTAGCCAAGTTAAAACTGGTATGCCAGATGTGTAGAGCTGTTTGCAAACAGCTCACGGTTTCGTTATGAATTCATGTCAGCTGAGACCTTAGGATATTGAAATCGATAATTATCGATAGCCGCCCAACAAAAAAGTTTAACAATAGCTGAATATTTATTGTTGTAGAAGTTACGGATTACAGGGTATCTGTTTGTCAAGCATTTCTTTCTATAATTGTTTTTACTTTTCTTGATTTCTTTACTATTTATTTTTGCTGCTGGCCCTTAATCTATTGTGACTTACTGGCACAACGTTTACTTATTGCCAAGCACAGTTGTACAATTAAATGAATAGAATCGAATGTCTATATGCTATACATATATATGTATACATGCATATTTGCATTTGTCTACACACATATACATACATGCTTGTAAAATATGATGTGTATCAAAATAAATTAGAGCAAGAATTTTGTTTTATTTTCGGAAATGAGCGAACATCGA